TGCGCAGAAGTCTTCAATGTTTACTTGTTTACATGGTTCTACAAAAAAAAATATGTAAAGTAAAAAGAATTAAATTTTGTACGCATTAATGTTCAGCTCTTTTTCATTCACTTTCTAACAGACTTAAGGCGTATTAGTGCTTTTAAGTTGATTTGATTAATTGAAGTTTGTTAAAACGTTATACAATAACTGTTGAATCCTATTGATTAATRAATGAAATCAACTTAAAACCACCAATACGCCTAATGTCTGCTAGAAAGTKGTTGACAAAGAGCTGAACATTGATGCGTACAAAATTGAAGAAAATTAAAAACAAGTATTTTACTGTATCCGAATAACAATTTAAAATTAACAAACGACGTATAAGATATTGCTAAAAGTTCCTTTTGTAACACGTTTCGAAATATATTTTACTGTTGCGCAGAAGTCTTAACCGGTTACCTGTTTATATTTTATACAAAAAAAACATTATTTAGTAAAAAAAAGAAATTCAATTTTGTGTGCATCAATATTCAGTCTTTTTCATTCACTTTGTAACAGACTTCAGGCGTATAAGTTCTTTTAAGTTGATTTGATTWATAGAACTTTGATAAAACGTTAGGCAATAATTGTTGAATTCAATTGTTTAATAATTCAAATCAMCCAAATTAATGCGTACAAATTTTAATTCTTTTATCTTTACTAAATAAAATTTTCTTGTATAAACATACATACAGCATTTTGAAAGTAAGCATAAAATAATTGCAATTTAGTGCCTTTTACAGTGCAATATCTGTTTTAATAATTTAACTTTTTTTCGTATGATTACGTAAAAAAGTGCTTCTTTTGGTTTGTTATCTTCTAAATGACCGAAAGTTAAATGTTTTAACTTATCGAGAACTATAGTAATGAAAATAACAAAGATGTTAAAATAATATCAAAGACAAACTATAAGATATTTACGTTTCAGAAAATGTTTGATTTTAGCAATAAAGTTTGTAATATTCTCATGTAAATATCTATTAAATTCCTAAATTTCTTTTTTTCGAAAAACCGATATTTTTCCATCTTCTTAAAGTTTAGTTGCTCATTTTCCGCTCCGTCTTCAACGTGTTCGATTCCCAATCTTATCATTAATTATATATTAATCAAAAAGTAATTGTGCTGCCTTTTATTTTATTTGGATTTTGATGCTCTCCCAATTAAGAAAAAATCGGACTCTTTGACTACTAAATTTTCCTTCTTATTTCATTTTTAATTGGATAGCATGAAGTCCTTTTCAATTCACTAAGCTTATAAATTATTACCTAGTTTGCAAGTGTTTTTATGCACAAAGTGTCTTTCAGATTTAATTTACAAATTTTTTTGATAAACTATTTTAAAAAACTTTAGCCTTTATTACATATTTGTTTTTTCAACTTATAAATTGACTGAATTGCAGAATTGTGCCTTTTCAGCTTCTTTCTTTGAAAAGAAAAAGAACAAAAAGATTCATTTTTATTAATATTTCGGACGTTCTTTTTAAGAGTATGGTTATAGAAAGAATTGAACTGTACTAAATTATAATTTCGTTTTGGATTTAAAAAAATACATTTGTTGGCATCAAATGTAAAAGGGTGTTATCTATTTTCCATTGATGCAAGCGCGTKTTTAAACTAAATCCTGAGATATCTTTTCATCACTTTCATGTAAACTTTATTTCTTCGCGTGGTTATGTTATTAAAGCAAATCTAAGTCCTAATCTTCCTTTTTTTAACTTGAAAGTGCTTGTTTTTTTCGCTGTATTTACTTTCGCTTCTAACTGTTAAGAAAGTCTTTGCTAGATGTTTTAAACTTTGTTTTGGTTTATCTGGTTAGTTTTAGATAGATTTTTGATTTTTGTTTTGAGTTTTTGTTGTTACCTAAAATTAATTTAAGTTTTARATAGACTGCTTTATGTCAAAAATATTTTTTAGGTTTTAGGGTTCCTATGGTAACTGGAAAATATTTGCTTTTTCGCCTTTCCTTGCTAACTGGATAATATTTTAGGCCCTGGGTATCATGTAGAAATGTTTTGTTTAGGCTTTGGGCTTCCTGTGTTACCTGGAAAATATTTTGGGTTCTGGGCTTCCTGGGTCATCAGGAAATTTTTTAGGGTTGTAGGCTTCCTGTGTTACCTATAATGTATTCTGGGTTCTGGGCTTCCTGTGTTAGCTAGAAGATATTTCATGTTTTCGTGCTTTCTGTGTTACCTGGGAAATATTTTCGGATCTGGGCTTTCTGTTTTACTAGGAAACTTTTTAGGTTGTGCGCTTCCTGTGTTACCWKGAAAATATTTTAGGATTTAGGTCTTCCTGTGTTACCTGGAAGGTGTTTTAGGATTTCGTGCTTCCGGTGTTAACTGGAARATATTTTGGGTTATGGGCTTCYTGTGTTAGCTGGAAAATATTTTGGGTTCTGGGCTTCCTGTGTTAGCTGGAAGATATTTTGGGTGTTCGGGCCTCCTGTGTTATCTGGAAAATATTTTGGGGTTTGGGCTTCCTGTGTTACCAGAAATTTTTTTGGGGTTCCGGGCTTCCTGTGTTACCTTGAAGGTGTTTTAGGATTTCGGGCTTCCTGTGTTAGCAGGAAATTTTTTAGGGTTCTGGGTTTCCTGTGTTACATAGAAAATGTTTCGGGGTTATGGGCTTACTGTGTTACCAGAAACTTTTTTGTAGTTCTGGGCTTCCTGTGTTACCTGGAAGGTGTTTTAGGATTTCGGGCTTCCTGTGTTGCCTGGAAAATATTTTGGGTTCTGGGCTTCCTTTGTTACCAGAAAATTTTAAAGGGTTTTGGGCTTCCTGTGTTACCAGGAAAGTTTTTTAGGGTTATGGGCTTCCTGTGTTACCAGGAAATTTTTTAGGGTTATGGGCTTCCTGTGTTAGCTGGAAAATTTTAAGGGTTTTGGGCTCGCTGTGTTGCCTGGAAAATGTTTTGGGTTCTGGGTTTCCTGTGTTACCAGGAATTTTTTTTGAGTTCTGGGTTTCTTGTGTTACCAGGAATTTTTTTAGGGTTTTGGGCTTCCTGTATTACCAGGAAATTTTTTAGAATTCTGGGCTTAATGTGTTACTTGGAAAAGATTTTTGGTTTTCGGGCTTCCTGTGTTAGCTGGAAAATATTTTGGGTTCTTGGCTTCCTGTGTTAGCTGGAAGATATTTTGGTTATGGGCTTCCTGTGTTCCCAGGGAATTTTTTTGGGTTTTGGGCTTCCTGTGTTACCAGGAAATTTTTTAGGGTTATGGGCTTCCTGTGTTATGTGGAAAATTTTTAGGGTTTTGGGCTTCCTGTGTTGCCTGGAAAATGTTTTGGGTTCTGGGTTTCCTGTGCTACCAGGAAATTTTTTTGGGTTCTGGGTTTCCTGTGTTACCAAGAAATTTTTTAGGGTTTTGGGCTTCCTGTATTACCAGAAAATTTTTTAGGTTTCTGGGCTTACTGTGTTACTTGGAAAAGATTTTGGGTTTTCGGGCTTCCTGTGTTACCTGGAAAATATTTTGGGTTCTTGGCTTCCTGTGTTAGCTGGAARATATTTTGGTTATGGGCTTCCTGTGTTACCAGAAACTTTTTTGTAGTTCTGGGCTTCCTGAATTACCTGAAAGGAGTTTTAGGATATCGGGCTTCCTGTGTTGCCTGTAAAATATTTTGGGTTTTTGGCTTCCTGTGTTACCAGGAAATTTTTTAGGGTTTTCGGCTTCCTGTGTTACCAGAAACTTTTTTGTAGTTCTGAGCTTCCTGTGTTAGCTGGAAAATTTTTAGGGTTATGGGCTTCCTGTGTTWACTGGAAAATATTTTGGGTTCCGTGCTTCCTGTGTTACCATGAAATTTTTTAGGGTTCTCGGCTTCCTGTGTTACATAGAAAATATTTTGGGGTTCTGGGCTTCCTGTGCTAGCTGGAAAATATTTTAGATTTTCGGGCTTCCTGTGTTAGCTGGAAAATATTTTGGGTTTTGGGCTTCCTGTGTTAGCTGGAAGATACTTTGGGTTCTGGATTTCCTGTGTTAGCTGGAAAATATTTTGGGTTCTGGGCTTCCTGCGTTATCTGGAAAATATTTTGGGTGTTCGGGCCTCTTTTGTTATCTGGAAAATATTTTGGGTTTTGGGCTTCCTGTGTTACCAGGAAATTTTTTAGTTTTCTGTGCTTACTGTGTTACCAGGAAAATTTTTAGGGTTATGGGCTTCCTGTGTTCACTGGAAAATATTTTGGTTATGGGCTTCCTGTGTTACCAGAAACTTTTTTGTACTTCTGGGCTTCCTGTGTTACCTGGAAGGTGTTTTAGGATTTCAGGCTTCCTGTGTTGCCTGGAAAATATTTTGAKTTCTGGGATTCCTGTGTTGCCTGAAAAATATTTTGGGTTCTGAGCTTCCYGTGTTAGCAGGAAATTTTTTAGGGTTCTGGGTTTCCTGTGTTACATAGAAAATGTTTCGGGGTTTTGGGCTTCCTGTGTTACCTGGAAAATATTTTGGGTTCTGGGCTTCMTGTGTTAACTGGAAAATATTTTGGGTTTTGTGCTTCCTGTGTTAACATGAAATTTTTTAGGGTTCTCGGCTCCCTGTGTTACATAGAAAATATTTTGGGGTTCTGGGCTTCCTGTGCTAGCTGAAAAATATTTTAGATTTTCGGGCTTCCTGTGTTAGCTGGAAAATATTTTGGGTTCTGGACTTCCTGTGTTAGCTCTAAGATATTTTGGGTTTTGGGCTTCCTGTGTTACTCGGAAAAGATTTTGGGTTTTGGGCTTCCTGTTTTACCAGGAAAATATTATTCGGTTTTGGGTTCTCTGTGGCAACATGAAGAATAACTTTGCCTCTGTTTAACCGGCTGCTTGCTCTTGGGCCCACTGTGTTTACAAAAGGAGACGAAAATTAATATAAATACGGTTAGTCTATAATTTTAAAATATTATATAGAGTACGAGTCGAGTAGGGAGGGGTGAAAATGAACATCGTTCCCAGCTCCTCTCGGTCAGCTCCAGATTGGATCAATAGAAAAGTTTTTTTAGAAAGTTATGACGTCATCTTAACGAATTAATCACCAACCCACAACCGCCACGGCCGAGAGCACGCTGGGGACGAGGTTGGGAAATGGAAATCACACAGTACAACAATGGCGGCGGAAAACGATGCAAGACTCAATATATAATAGTGCTTTGATGTTTCTCTTCCTCCACAAAAATCCTGAAAAATCATCGTTTTACAATGTGAAGTCCAGTTCAGTCGAAACTACTGTTGAAGGAAGTACAATATATCTACAATCTATATATCTACGCCTAATAGATTTAGAGAACAACTTGAATTTTATCTTTGGTAATTTTACGACCCCTAGTACTTCTATCTTTCGGGATGTTCGATGAAATATGGCTGAATTCATAACAAACACGGGATTGTGCAACATGATGTGCATGTAGACCATCTAAGGGCTATTAAAGAGAAGTACAATGGGCAGTCCAGCTCGCAGAGAAAAGTAAAAGTTGCAAGCCTTACAAAGTAGATTGGGAAAGCTAAAGTAGACTGGAAAAGCTAAAGTTTACGTTTTGGATTGAAAAGTTCTAAGCCTGGACCTTAATATGGAATTAACATGTAGCACTAAGTACAATTAATAAAACAGAGGTAAGTTGAATGTAAATAATGTAATATACCAATAGTATGGAATAAAAGTAACCTCTTGTAATCGTTTCTCGAGTCGTTAAACACTTGTTTTTATTTGTAATATATTTAGGTTTAGCCTGAGTTTTCTTTCGGTTAAAATGAGAGGTTTTCGTTGTTGACTTATATGGATCAATGGGGACTACGATTCAAGTTATACATTATATATGAATGAACTAACGAAATTTTACAAATGTTAATGGGACACAAGTTGATGTTCGGGCTCAGAACTACCTTAATAATTTTGGCTCTAATCGAATGTCTTACCTGTTGCAGAGTCTCCACACTTATCATGATACTGACTGTATAGAACTATGACTTCTCTTGCACGTGCAACATGGTTGTTGACAGGTATGATCACTAGGCCTCTGGAGAAAATATGACAGTGAAGGCTGTGAAAAACTCGTGGATTCTCACATAATAAGGTCAAATCAAATGACTCTTCTAATTTGGCATTGGAAGGACTTGAAGTGAAGCCACATGATTTGCTCCCACCTTGTTCTATCCATCATGGCAGCTACTACCTGAGATTGGGTCAAGTGAGGTTATTGAATGAAGATAAAACAGGAATAAATAGAGTTTTGCTTTGCATAGAATGCTTTGGAATTTAAAAGGGCTATAAAGGAACAAGCTTTTGATCGTTGTGTATGAGAATATACATGAAATATATATTTGTATTGCAGTTGTAATGAATCAAATTGAGCTGATCGTCATTTGATCATTGTCGGTCATTTAGTGTGGATTGAAATATTTATTGGTATTGTAAACAGAATTTTATGTACCCATTTCTTTGAACAGTTACTTGTACCTGAGATTGGGAATGAGTTTACTTACTTTGTGTGCAACACGTTGTATAAATTTTTAATTAGCTTGGGAGTTTTGAGATTTCTGAGTACTTTGTATGTTGGGATTTTCATGCCCAGCTTAAAGGTTTGTTCGATTTGAGTGGGTAAATTTGTGGTAGAACAGGAACTCATTGTAGGCTGTGGAACTTATTCCACTCTGAAGATTCAATATATTGAGGAACATGAATGCTAACGTCTTCACTTTTGTCATTAATAGATTGGTTGTTATTGTCTTTCTTCTACTGTTAGATGTGGGTACCTGTTGGAAAAACAAGGGACTCAACAAAGGACTGCATGTGCCAGTTCATTTAGTTTTTTCATCAGCTAAGCTTGATGCAGAGTGGGCAGCATTGGTTTACTTGTTATTGCATCTTCATTATTATCCAGTTAGTTCAGTTGGTAAGAGTGTCAGTCCATAGTTCGAGCCTCAGCTGGACCAAAAAAACTCAGGAGAAGGTGATGCCTTTGTAATTACATCTTCAAATGGTTAGACCTTCAAGTGTTCTCGGATAGGAACTTTAAACCATAGGCCCTATCTCCCAACCCTTCCTTATAACCTGCAGTAAAATGTCCATTTTTCCATTCCACATAAAACAACCTGTTGAATTATTCATATAAGAGTAGGGGTTTTCCTCAGTTCAACAGCCTATCCCAATTTGGAGGCATAATACTAATCTACTAACAACTGACTCATGATTTAAGCTGCACGGCTGCTAATTGTGCCTTAATATGCAGCTCGTAAAGTCCTCCACTGGTCATAAATGTAAAGTGCATTGAGACATTGTGAAATGCTCTTTATAAGAACCTCCCATTTTTATTATTGTCTGGACAAGGGTGCACACCATATATCTGTGAAATAATTACTAGTCATGCATGTACGTTTAACAGTATTTTTCTTTTAGTTATCAACTATTAATAGTTTTAAACTAGCTAAATGTTTAGCTTTTGTTCCCAATTTTGTGCTCCACTAATATCCACTATTGTATAAAATAAAAGCACCAAAATATCAGCAATTAGACAGACATGTTTGGTTTTGTTTCACAGATTTATGGCGTGCACTCTATATGACCAAAGTCAAATAATTTCTGTTGATTGGGAGGGTTCTTGGGAAAATCAAGGTAAAATTTTAGTTTTCCTCCGGTTTTTCTACCTTATTCGTTTCCTGTTGAAGCTATGATGAAAACAAATTACTATATGTTACAAGCACATAAATACATTGGTATATATATATTGTAAAGATATCATAAACACTTATGCCACTTCCTTGACATTGGCCTTAAAGTGTATATCAAGGATAAAATTATATTTTCAAAATCACATATGTGAACAGTGTATATATGGTATGGTTGCAGTATTTTGGTATGGGGTCTTCTCTTTTCAAAGATATAAAGTTTTGAAATATCAATATGCAAATGAGATGACGTAGATTCCAGAATGTGTTACATTTGCAGTGCGATTTAGGACAAGTGTTCTGAAGTGAAATAGCCCAAAGGTGTACAAAGCCATATATTTCAGTTATAAGGATGATTTGCAAATGAAAAAAATAACTGGCAGTACTTTCCACAACAGCATGTTTGTATAATAAATTAGTCTTGAATTTACATCATCTCATTTGCATATTGATATTTCAAAGGTTTTCTGAGAAGAAAATTTCACATACAAAAATTCTGCAACCATATTAACTAACACTATTCACATATAAGTGATTTTGAAAAAAAAATTCTTGATATACACTTTAATAAATAAATGGGGATACTGTCATCACATAACATATCATTTATGGGCAGGGGAGAGAGCTATAAAATTGCTTTGACCTGACCTTGACATTTATAAATAACAAATGGTTTTGATAAAAGGATGGTATCTAGAATAGAATTATTAGTTATGTTTAGGATTATTGCCACTAGCTAATCCRGGTACTCAATTGAACAGGAATCAAACCTGTGACCTTCCGGGTACCGTCCAGGTGAGTCTGTAATCAAGACAAACCAGTGGGGTTTCAGTCCATTTTAGAATGGTACGAAGGTATGATAATCCCATGATGGATGTCAACAATGAGCAGCATTTTATTAATGATATTGTCAACAAAGATCATATAAAGTCTTCATTACCAGAAAATAGGAACAGGGAAAAGCTTTTTCAAAAAAATATACCAAGAGTACCAAAGTCTCGAAAGAAAATGTCAGATAATGGCCCACAAGAGCAACTCAAGGTATCTGAAATGGACTGAAGTCCTGCTAGTTTCTCTCTGGGTTTTCACTCCAAAAACATTGATTTTTAATGTTTATGCAAATTAGCAGCCGCCAGTTATGAAAGTCRTGTATTAATGGTGGCCAATTGATTTGGGTTAAAAAAATGTTTTACTTTAATTTTATTACCGGCGTTTGCATTGCTACGCAGCCACCCTAGACTAAAATCGCAACGTGCACTTTGCAATAGACTGCCGTCAATCAAACATGTTGAAGCCATTTACACGCGTGTGTGATTCAAAAGGCGCCAAAACTTCGGTCGATTGTTTACAAATATTATAAGCCACACTCACCGGGCTTATCCAGGCCGATCCAAGCACCTGTAAATGACGCCCAAAGGTCCTCTTAGGATCTTCACCTATATAACTTGTGGTTAGGATCATTTTATGGTTTCTTTTCTTTAATACTGAGTATAAAATGAGAAGATATTTTGATTACAAAATAATGGAGCAAAGTTTAGTGTGGAGTGTGTATGACATCACAGATTTTCACATAAGACTATGGTATAA